TGAGCCGGCTTTATATATATATATTAGGTGCTAGATATTTAAATACATTGGTTAATCAACAATAATGAAGGAAATATGGTCAGCGGAGAAATCGCATTTAAATCCCATCTTTATTATTATTTCTTTTTAATTTCATAGCCGTACGCAATTAATTTTATATTCGGACAACGAGCGCAGTTAGGACAATATTATGGAACCACAAAAGGCCTATATAACACTTCCTTGACCAAGATAACATTTATTCTAGCTCGCACTATGTACTACAACATTAAATTGGGTCAGGATATTATATTAAAATTAAATGAAGCCCTTGGTCAAAAACCAAGCTTTGTAAAGATATGTAGATCCATGGGAATTTTAGTTTGTCTAAAACATATGTTTGCAATCGACAATTATCTATGATAGGTTGAGGATAGCATCAGGAATGAGTCTGATTGACCTCGTAGTTGGATATGTTGGCCTACCATTCAAATTGCACCAAGGCTTCGGAGATTGGGTTTGGTTTTGGGTTTTTGCGTGTGATTTAGTGACATGGGCGAGGCCAAGTTTTACTAGAATGTATCAGTAAAGAAACACGAGTATAATAATTTGGATAGGGGATCATTGATAGGGGTGTAAATGAGCCGAACATGAGCGACTGCAGGCCTAGCTCGTGTTCGGCCCGCTTATATTTCGAGCTCAAAATATGTGTTCATGTTTGACTAGTTTTTATTTCGAGCTCAAAATGTGTGTTTTTATTTCGAGCTCAAAAAATGTGTTCGTGTTTGGCTCATTTTTATTTCGAGCTCAAAATGTGTGCTTTTATTCGGCTCGTTTATATTTCAAGCTCAGAAAATGTATTCGTGTTTGACTCGTTTATATTTCGAGCTCAAAATGTGCTTTCGTGTTCGATTCGTTTGTTTAACGAGCCAAACATGAGCTGTTCACGAACAAAGAGTCATTTTTATAACCTTAATCACATAGCCATAAAATGTTAAGAATTGTGGTAAGATTTAATAATTATTATTTTTATTAAAACATTATTTGAATCTAACTTAATAAATTTTATTATATTTTCTTTATTAATACTTCTAATTGATTATAATAAGTCTTTATAGCTTTATATTAATTTTTTTAAAAAAATAATGCTCATCAATATACATATAATTGATGAGTAGTATTTCAAGCTAAAACGAGCCGAACACGAACAAACAAATCTTTTTCATGTTCGGCTCGTTAAAAACGAACGAGCCGAACACGAGCTTCTTAATGAGTTGTTAGTGAACAAGCCATTTTGACAGCCCTAATCATCGACAAACAAGAGACAATGTAGATTGATGAAAATAATTTTACTTTAAGAGTTTATATCTTTATAATAATTTCCTCTTCATCTATTAAACGGCCAAACAATAATAATTCAATGATCATTTTTTTTTTCAAAACGCTACATACAATCGATTATTTTGTCAGCATCTTGGGCGAGAAGTCGATCTTCTCCGAGTCATGTTTTCATGAGAGGATTTGGCAGAGGAGTTAACCAAGTTATTTCACACTTCTAGTGATTTACAGGAGGAGGCAAATGTAAGGGATAAGATTAAGAAGAGAAACCCAACTATTACTCTTGTAACGAGTCGATCCAAGCGAACCCGACTAGCAGTCGAATTTATGATCCCATTGGGATTTCTATGATGCGTAAGAGCAAGAACCGCTAATAAAGCCAAGAAAATCACGATCATACATAAACAACTTTGTTTATTTTCATATGATACTCATCTAAATAAACCTTATACTTATACCCCCTCAAAACTCCCCCTAACATTAGCTTTCAAAACTGAGAAAATGCCAACCAACGTAGACTTAAATTATAATAATGAAAAGAACCAAAAGTTCTGACAGCTCCATATCAATGGGAACCATTATTTGATTAGATATTTCAGTGTATATTATTGCTTATAACAATAATAAAAACATAAAGTAAAACAAAACAAGAGGGCGACAGCCAACTTACTGCAGGAGTACCACTTTATTTTGTTTCCACCATTCGTCTTTCTACCATCATCATGACCATGTCAACATCACACCTAAAATGAGAGGAATCAGAAGCAACTATGCCTTTAAGGTGCAACAGTTTTTTTCTTCCGCTGCTACCTAGGCCGTGATACAGTAATTAGGGAGTGTAAAGCAGGCTTAAACCTCATTCAACTCCGAGTTCAAGTTGTTAGATGTATAATTGGCTCAAGCTCATAACACTTATACACGGTTCAAACTCGACTCGGAAGCTCAATTAATTAATGAATTAACTAATATAATCAAACTAACTCAACTAACTCTCAAGTCATGTCAGGCTAAACTTAGCTCATCTAATATACGAGCTCAAATCTAAGCTCGAGCTTGCAGCTCGATAAATTCTAACTCGTGAGCTCGTTAAAGAGTCAAGTCTGAGCAAATTCATGAGCCGGCTTGGCTTACTTATATCCCTACTATCCACTGTAGTGGATTTGAGCGACAATATTGATATGGACCATGACTAAGTGTATCCTTGGGACAATCGTCTCACAATTTTGAGCCCTATTTAGCAGCATATGTTTTACTAACTTTTTAGATTTATGTGGTAAGAAATTTGGTACAAAAATACGCATCGCATGGTGAATTGGTGATACACTTAATGAAGTTGACTTCTAGAAATAAAACAACAAAAAACAAAACTCATAATTACATATCTAACACGAACTTTATTTTTTTCCATTTATCACATCCAAATATTTCATATCACATAAAAACTACCACTGCATCAGCTTTTAAAAACTGAAATACAAAATTTTCATGCATTTGTAAGGCAACATTTATGTAATAAAAAGAAAATAAAAAGGTTTCAAGTGTTAGATATGTAAATACAAAAGAATTAAGTGGTATGTATGTAAATCTTCCTTATAAAAAATCCTAACCTTTAGCCCCTCAATTTGCAAGTCTTCACTTAGAAAAACTAATTTTCAATATGCATTTAAGCACACAAAAACAGTTTTAGTGGTAGTGTTGGGTGATTTGAAAGGCCAGCACATAAAAGGAAAAGAAGAAAAGGCAAGCAACATATAGTTCTGGGCCACATAGATTCAAACACGATGAAAAAGCACTACCAGGTTGTCATTTTGCCATATTCATGGCCACATATAATCAGTGACAGGCACACAATTATTGTCGGAATAATACCATTATAATGTTTTGGGAATCACCTGCAGTAGACATTCTACTAACGAAACGGCCTTCATGAACAGCAAGCACCAGTCTTCACCGACAGACCTTCAGATTAATTAAAATCATATTTCATGAACAGGAGATAATTAGCTGCAGCAAATATAATAATCTATTCTTATGCATTTACATAACTAAACCCCTAAAGTTTGATATTTGCATTTATAACAAATTGGTATTAAAAACCTATCATGGCATGAACATTAATAATAGTGATATTTTTAATGTGATGTCAAAGATGCCATTGTTCTGCATGTAAATATAAAAGTTTTGATGTTAGATATGCAAACATATAAGAATTGTGTGGTATGTATGTAAATGCCATTTTAAACATCAAAAAGCACATTTAAAACTTAAATAAAACAACAAGACATCTAAAAAAAATACCTAATACCTAAAAACAACAACACATTTAAAATAAAATCCATCAAGTTTGAGCAAACATCAAATCTTTATAAAAATTGATCAAATTATTCCAAGGTTATAGATCATCATCAGCAATCTTGATCTCGAATTTTATGGTAGTAATAAAAAGAAATAATTGTAGGAAAAGAGCTTTCCCGACACAAAAGAGTAGTTGATGGAGATGTGTTTATAGCAAGAAGAGATGATCATTATGCACCCCTAACACCTTACCGCAATATGGTTGCAACAAAGGAACCAAAAAGCTTCACAAATTTTAATATAATGAATGTTTCGAATAGTACAACATGATATATTCCCATTAAAATATTAAAATGCAACAGGGACAAAAATGCATTTTAAAATTTGCCGTTCTTAATACTAAAATGCAACTTTGCCAAGGTTGCCTAAAACAAACTATCCACAAGGCCCAAGAGCAATGTATCATATGTTTAAGAAAACAAAATCAATTTTTGATAGCTTTTATTACCAAAGCTAATCTAATCTTTTATGTTATGTATTATATTTTCTTTACCACCTATGTTCAATTCTCATCCCTCAATTTTTAAGGGTTCCAAGCTAAGAAAGCATATTTTAATCTGATGAAATGTTGTGACATCATATGTTATATCTTTTGAATTTGTTATGTTTGATGATGGATTTTTTTGGTGATGCTAAGAAGATTCAAATAATTAATGATTGATCATCACATTAGTAGTCAAGATATTTGGAGATGTCATGATTTGGCTATTTTTATAGGTGATTTACTGAATTTAGTACTATCATGGTTGCAGTTACAAGTTACAATAAAAAAGAGATTTTGAATGGTCTAGATATGCTAATGTTGCTTCTATTGAGATAAAAAAGATACCTACAAAATGCAAATATGCTTGTGTCATGAGCTTTTAATAAAATATTTGAAGTTTCTTATAATATTTGATGTGGAAATCAGGAGTGATAAGCTAAGAGGAACCACAAGTGATTTCACGCATTTCTCTTAATTAATCAATCATTACATCACCATTTAGTTTTGACTTCACATATTTTATGTCAACTCCTAAAGCCATCTTCGTGCATTTAAATATTTTGCTTTTCAATCCTTGATGTGATCCATATCATATGAAATATAAGTGAATCGAGTTTCATCAAATTTTTGTTATAAATTAAACTTC